AATACAGTGAGAAATAATATGTTTTCCGAAATATTAGTAAAAGGTGTTTGGTATGGTAAAATTTTCCCGGGAATATATGATTAATTTTACTGAATGTGTATTTGGTTAGTTGTGAAATATTAGTGGGAAAGAAATGTTATTTAACAAAATTGACCTCAGGTTAACGTTTTTTTTTTTTACAAAGCCACAAGATTAATAATCAAAACGTTGGGAGGGTATCCGTTATCCTGAATCTTAACAGTTGCCAACCGTAAAGAACGAAAGAGGATGGAAATTGTCTTCAAATTAATTTTCTAGATCTTCATTCTCTAATTTTTTTTTTCAGGAAACAAAATAATATAAAAATTAAAAAATAATGTCAGAAAAAAATTAAAATGATTTCACTCTACCACCATACCTTCTGAACTCCATTCCGATGAAACCCAGAGCTTCGACGACGGTGGACTCTTTCTTCCCGCGAAAATGTTATGCAGTCATGGCAAAGTTTCACTTGCCTTTATAAAGAGGTTCGTACTTGCTATTACTTTTTAAGGATAGAAACGTCAAATTTCGCGCGCCTCGTGTTATATTTCCCCGGGATCGACAGAGTTCCAAGTTTTCAATGGACTTTCACAATTGATTTTTGTACTGTAGATAACACATGATAGGATTTGTCGGAAAAGATTTGAACTCTAAATTTTTTTCATTTTAGACGAACCAAACATGAGATTCATTTACCTGATAGCAAGCTATCCCGGGAAAAGGAAAAAAAAAACCAGGTAACAAACACCCCCTAACAAGAAAAAGATGAAAGAGCATTTTTACTTAAATTAGTAATGACTTTGACCTCTTAAGCTTGTACTTTCAATCCCATAGTGGTCATCCTATACCCATCACATCTGAATATTTAAGATAGAGAGAACAGGTGAACTGTAAAATATATTAATATCCACGATCATTAAATCAAGTATTTAGTTATTTTGCACGATTAAAACAAGACATCTAAGCAGAGAGTTATAACTTTGTTAGTTGTCTACCGATCACTTGTTACTTATCTTGTTATTTTTTAGATCAAAATTAAATTAATAAATTTTATTTAATTTTATTTTATAATCAATAATTTAATTTTAGTTCAACGATAATAAAAATAATTATAAGAAATTATAAGATAAAAAATGTTATACATATAAGCTACTTCTATTAGGATAGCCCCACTTGGTTATGATTGAAACGAACTTAAAAGAGAGGCATTAGTCGATGGTTGTCTTGTCCCTCCCTAAATTTATTTTATTTTTTGATATTATATACATAAAATGATATTTTTGTAATAATAATAAATTATTAATTTTAATAGTTAGCCCCTCCATAAAGTTAACTCTTTTAATAATTTTTATCAGTTGTAATAACATTTTTACCTTACATATTTATTTATCCTGCTATCATAAAAAAAAAAAAAAAAACTGAATCCGCCAATTGGTTACGAGGACTATTTTATTTTGGCTGATTAGCCTTAGAAAGCACGTAAAGTCGAAAAATCCTATTGAGTGTAATATCGTTAATGTGTTGGCATTACATTACTGAGAAAAAAACCATGGAGCTTCACACCAAACCAAACAAATTCTGGCCACAACTTTACATGGATGATTTTTTGGAATCAAGTGATGGGCCCACAACAGCCAAAACCTTAACCTTTTTTTTTGCTAGTTGTCCTGTTTTTGTTACCTATTATATTCGGTACTAACTACAACTTCAAGGTTCAATGAAAGTATGGTAGCATCACGTGTTTGCCAACCCCGTAAACGCCATTGGAGGTCCACAACCACAAGGGTGTAAAAAAGGTGAAAAGCTTGCTGCTGCTGGTGGTGGCGGCCTAGTGTGTATTGAATTGCCTAAACCACATGTTTCTCGAGGTCTTAACTGGTTCACGTGTCATTTTAATGCTTCCCCTATTGTTCTCTTATTCCTAAAATATCGTATCACAATCGGTCTACCCTCCACCATACGTATTTCAAAACACAAAACATCATATTGGTTGTCTGTTTGTGAATAATATATATATATATATATATATATATATATATATAGAAAGGTAGGATCCTTTGATATCAGTGTCAAATTTGAAATTTGATACTTTATCTGAGAGCCATTAAGCATGTGACACCATTGATCTTTTTTGATCTAATGACTCTCAGATGAAGTGTTAAACGATCCTACCTCATATATATATATATATATATATGTGTGTGTGTGTGAGGTAAGATACTTGGTGTCAAATTTGAAATTTGACACCTCATCTAAGAGCCATTAGATCAGAAAAGATTAACGTCTCTGATTTATAAGCACGTGACACCATTGATTTTTTCTGATCTAATGACTCTCAGATAAGTGTCAAATTCCAGTGTCAAAAGATTCTACCTCTATATATATATATATATATATATACGTGTGTGTCCAATTTGGGTGAGACAATTCATCCAACGCCAAGTCTCGGATATCGCGAATACTTGCAATAATCGGAGCCATGTGGGGAGCATAATCATATTTATTTCTTGATTATTGCTCCTTTCGATCGCTTTCCTATTTATTGCAAATATCTAAACCAAAAGTGGTTGGAATCACCAAAACATAAAAATTATTAAAAGTTAATAACCTATTTATGGTTAGAATCTGTTTATTTCCTTATCTGTTACAACACCTAGTATTTATATTTGATAGGGGAGACATCTTTTTTTGACAAGATTTAAACAATTTTTATCTATTTTTAGTATGGGTTTTGATATGAATCTAAATGTAAATACATATAGATATGGATTAGTTTTTAGTCAGCCCTTGACTATATGAAAGACAACAATTGTAGGTTTGGTTATCCTAATATGAGAAATCATTATCTTTATCTACATGAGATAAGAACTTTTTCTTACACAAATTCATTTTCCGTGTCAATTAATTTTTCTTTTCTTTTTTAATTTAAAATGTGGGACCCACATTTAACTTATCTCTACTTTTTTTCTCTCCTACTATCCTACAACATAAGAAAATATGCACCCTCCTAATATTTACACAAACTTAATTTTTTTTATTACAAAGTTTGGAGTATGCCCTAGTTTGGTTAACTCTCGAACAGATAAACGTTTTGTAGGATAGACCAGCTAGTCACTAAAATATGTTAGTTATTAGTTATGTAAGTGGAGTGTAAATGAGTTAGTTCGGTTTACAAGTGCCTATAACCTAATCCATAATAGTTAAAATCTTGATTTATTATTATGATTTTATGTTTTTACGATTTTTTTTTATCAAAACGATTTTACCAATATTCTAAATGTTTTTACATTTTTTTTTACGATTTTTCGACGTTATGATTTTATATTTTACGATTTTTTATCTCCCTTGTGATTTTACGTAAAATCTCTATTTTAACTACCTTGCCCTAGTTTATATTAGGTCAAATTGAGCCTATTACAAATAGTCAAATAGAACAGATATAGACTTTTAAAAAAAATTATTTAAAAAATAGATCATAGGCTCTTTTGTACATATCAGACCTATAAACCTACAGGTCGATCTAGATTATATTATTTATTTTAAATAAAATAATAAAATAAATTTTTTAATAATTTTGAATAATAAAGTAATATGATTTTAATTATTAAATATTTAATATATTTAAATAACTAACAGGCCTAAGTCAGGTCAATTCAAACCTAAATTTTTTTGCACAAACTTATCCTAGTTAAAGCCTAACCTAATCTATTTAAACTCTTATATATAACCCACATTTATGATTTATGAGCAGTTCGGCTGCAGGTTCAGTTCAGCGAGACCTTTTTTTCCTTTGACTTTTCAAAACATGCAAATATTAAATGACAAAAAACCTTAAAAAAATTTTTATAAATCGAAACGATTTATCATTCAGCTGGCCAGTGATAATGGGCAGTGAAAAAATAGCAGCCCATGCTACGTCAAGATGGGTCAGAATGTCATTGGGCTTGCTTCATATAAATCTTTATACCAATTTGGTATTCAAGACTCATTCGGGTGCAACTTAAAATACTTCAAAAAAAAAAAAAAAAAACTTCAAAATAAGTTTAAGGTAAGAGGAACATCTAACCATCTCAAAATCAGTATATATATATATATATATATATATATATATATATATATATATATATATATGAGATAGGATCCTTTGACACCGGTGTCAAATTTGAAGTTTGACACCTCATTTAAAAGCCGTTGGATCAAAAAAGATCAATGGTTACAAATCAAAGTCGTTGAACTTTTTTGATCCAACTGCTCTCAGATGAGGTGTCAAATTTCAAATTTGACACCGGTGTCAAAGGATCCTACCTCTATATATATATATATATATATATATATTAAATCGTACTTATTATTAATCAGGTGAAAGTATTGATTTATGATTTATTAATCTAATCTGTGATAAAAATAAATATTTTTAATATTGCATAATATATTAAATAATAAGGTATAAATAAAATTATATACAGTTAACTAAAATTTCAAATCAACCATATTATATATTTCGTAAGATAAAAAATAATAATAAGATGTTAAATAAAAAGAATTTACTTGACATCGAGTCTTATTTTTAACTGAGGAAAAAGTAATTTTTAAAAAGTTTTAATTATATTAAAAAAAACAATTCTTTAATCGAACTGATTTCTAAAGAGTTTTAATTTTTTTTTTTAATTCAATAATTAGTTTACCAGTTTTCCGGTTAAACGACCAGTCCAGTTTAGCTATTGTATACAATATTGGGCACACATCAAAAGAAATGGCACAAGGTTTGACAAGTATTATTTTTGAACTTTATAGAAAATTAAAATGAGCATATTTGATAGTAAATGTTCCAACTTGGGCCTATTATGTAGTAGCTAACATAACATGTCAAAGACCAAACATTGTGGACTACACAAAGACAGACACACTCCCATATACATACACAAGATCTTTTCTGGCAGAATTGGACACTATTAAGAGGGTGATGACAATTGACTAGCTCAAAGCTCAGCATCACGGTGTTGTCCACCTTGTAATCTATCTTTCACTTGTTGTGATTTTTGCTTGGCAGCTTCATAGTTAGAAGCTATGGTTTCCTTGGCTGCATTTGCCATGTCACTTGCCTTCTCTGCTGCAGCGTCCTTCATTTCTCTCGCCTTCTCCGCACTGTATTGACCAGCCCCTGCTCATCATTGAATCAATGTACTTTGATTATTCATTCATAGAAATTGAAAAACCAGTACTGAAGCAAAATGTTTGTTTTTTTTTTTTTTTTTAAATACTATAAAATGTTTGATTTTACTCTTACATATTCTTGTTTTTGCATACTCCCTTTTGAGCCTTAATGGACCTTTATAGTTTATTTCATATTAAAATAAAGGGTCCTCGTAATTTCAACTAGGTGGAATGAAGATCCAAATATTCATCCACCTTTGAGTCCCATTATAAATATTATTCTTGTGTTGAAACTTTATGAAAACCATGGCCAAGTAGGAACACAAAAATCAGATAGTAACTACTACATGCCAAAAAGTGAGTGAAAATGCCACCGTTTTTTCTCTATGCCATGTGCATGCTTGAAATGTTTTTAATATAGTTGAAGTTAGTGTACCAACCAGAGGCAACGTCTTGGAGCTTTTCCTTGGTCTTCTGAGCCGTGTCACTAGCATAATCAGACATCTTGTCTTTGGTGTCTTTGGTCTTCTGAGTAGTATCACCAGCATAGTCTTTGGTTTTCTGAGTAGCATCACCAGCATAGTCTTTGGTTTTCTGAGTAGCATCACCAGCATAGTCTTTGGTCTTCTGTGCTGCGTCACTGGCATAATCTGTAGTCTTCTGTGTGCTCTTCTTAATAGCATCACCAGCATAGTCTTTGGCCTTTTGTGCTGCGTCACTGGCACAATCTGTAGTCTTCTGTGTGGTCTTCTGAGTAGCATCGCCAGCATAGTCTTTGGCCTTCTGAGCAGCACTACCAGCATAATCTGTAGTCTTCTGAGTAGCATCACCAGCATATTCTTTGGCTTTCTGAGTAGCATCACCAGCGTATTCTTTGGCCTTCTGAGCAGCATCACCAGCATATTCTTTTGTCTTCTGAGCAGCACTACCTGCATAGTCTTTGGTCTTCTGAGTAGCACTACCTGCATAGTCTTTGGCCTTCTGAGCAGCATCAACTGCATAATCTTTGGTCTTCTGAGCAGTGTCCGTGGTCTTGTGTGCAGTGTCACCGGCATAGTCTATGGTTTTGTGTGCAGTGTCACCCGCATAGTCCTTAGTCTTCTGTGCAGTGTCACCAGCAAAATCTATGGTTTTGTGTGCAGTGTCACCGGCAGTGTCAATCACTTTTTTAGTGGTGCTCTCTTTGTCCTTGGGTTCATCATGCTTGAACCCAAGCCCTTCACTGAGTTTCTCTTTAGCCCACTCTTTCCATGACTCTGTCCCTTCTTTCCCCGTATCCTCAGTTTGTGTTGTCTTGGCTTTAACCTCCTCAAAGTCTTGACCTTCCTCTTTGTTTGAGGGCATGTGGCCAACACTTGTGCAGTTACAGTTAATGACGAACACCATCATCAACATCACCAAAACCACCCTTGAAGCCATGACAATATATTTGCACCAATACTGCTTTGGCTTTTCCAAAAGTAAGAAGAATATGGAAAGGCTCAAATGTGAGAACAAAGACAGAAACTTTGTGCTTTGAAATCCAAAAGGGGTGTCAAAGTAAGTTAACTAAGGGAGTGCAAGTCGTGGTAGAGACAGGTTGGGATGTGGGGGTTATAAGGAACATGGTGGATCTACTACATGCAACGTGGCCTCCTAAGAAAGAATGTCAAATTTGACGTGTCAATTGCATAAAACAAGGTGTCTAATTGCCATCATTTGGTTTTGATGCTGCGTTTTCCAAGTTGGTGCGTGTCAATGCGTGGATGGAACAGATATGCACCGAGTAAAAAGATAGCAAATTGGAAATAGTTCTTTTCTGGCTGTTTGATCGATGTATTCTCAATTGCTTTGGCTTCCTTCATTTCAATCCTTGGCACCGCCACGGGTTTATGTGCCATTCTGAATCTCTGATTAGCATGTGTTGCTTTGGAGAAACATCTCGTTATATATTTGATAATTAGATAAGAAACATGTCTTATTCAATTCGAGGTAATAGAAAAACAATATAAGAAACTTATCTGTTATAATAAAAGAACGAAGATATGGAGGGAAAACTTGCTAACCAAACAGGCATTATAATTTTAATGAAAATTGTGTTTCTCATATTACATGAGATAAATACAACACAAAAAAAATAGATAAAATTCAATTTTTCTTTTCTTTCTCTTTTCCAAAGTGGATCCTATTCACTTTTTTTTTTTAGATTTCGTTTTTTAAAACTAAATCAACACATCGTGGGACAATGGTCTAGCGCACTTAATTCAGATTTTTGCTTGTGATAAAAGATTCAACATCCCTTCCCATTTTATTTTTTTTCTCTTTCTTTTCCCCGAGGCCTAGCATGATATAATCCCAAAAAAGTGAAAGAAAAAACAGCACACTATAATAATATCACTATCAATGCTACATGATTTTTTTTTTTAATTCATGACAATTTCAATTTGCTATCGCATTAAAAAAAAAAAAAAGGACAGAAGGACCATGCAAGCAAATAAACTCCAAAACAAATCCTCAAAGCCATAAGGAACCAATTATGTCATGCTACAAAATTTTGCCCAATTACTTGCAACCGTGACGACTACTACGCAACTGAATGAGTAAAAACCACATCAAGATCTGAAAACAAAACTACTACATCTGTCTCGGACAAATTTGCTCGGAGAAAAGGAATCTAATATCATCATAAAGATATTATTCAGAAAGAACTACAATGAGAGACTTCACACGAGCTCTCTTGCAGCATGTATTATCCTTCATTCCTCAACATATCTAGATGTCTTGTACCGGTTATCATGTTCAGGAGACAATCACATGATTCTTTTCCAACTTCGATGACTGAAAAGAGAACTGAATGTCTTCAGCAAACACAATATATTCCATTGAATCAATAAATTTAAATAAAATAGAAAACAGCCTATACTGAGAAGAGAACTCGTTGTTTTGGTTCTACGTTAACAGTATACAAACTCTATATACTTCACATCATGAAGTAATTTGTTCTCAGCCAAATATCATTTGAGAGGGTAAAACAAGAAAAAACTGACTAATACCAAAATTAGATAATCTCTAGATAGCCAGCACATGAATTTGGAGATTCGAACCAAATCCCATACGGACACTAAAATGTCTCTCCTAAGCCAATTCTCTACAGTGGTTGCAAATGGCTGCTGCTCAAAGATGTGCATTTTGCTTCAATATAGATTCCCTGCGTAACACAAACGTTTGAGAAATCTTATATTAGTCACTGGTAAAGTAAAAATAATCATATAATTCTAAATATCCAGTATTAAGCATCTATATGGATGGTTAAACATTTCAGATAGTAACTATGCATTCAGTGGTTTAGGAAGCATCAAACATGCTATTATTCAAAAGATCAAAATGCATAGCATGCTTATGTATCTGAAGACATTGAGCGCAAGACTTCTGGAGGAATCAGAGAAAACATATTTGTCATACTTATTATTCCCATTTGAGTCTGCATGGATGCACTTGCTCATATAAAGGCCCTGTTTGTATTAGATTTTCCTGAATGCTGACAAGCATTCATGGGACCGGGTGCTTTGGGAGATGTGTGGAACTGTGTTTGAATTAAAAGGATCCCAACCAAACAGTCTATAACTTAGAATGAAATGTCTAAAAAATACACAAATTCATTCTAGTAAGTTTATGCAGATATCTAGCCTGACAGCAAGCATACACCTAGAAGTCATACAATATGCAGAGAGAGACAGACCAGACAGACCGAGAGAACTGCTTACTATGCCATTTTTGCACGTCTTCCTATTGTGTCCAAGTCCCTTGCACTTACTGCACTGAAGCTGACGTTTAATTAGGTCTATCGATTCAACCTGCTTCATTTTTGGCCGACCTGGAGGCCGCTTGGTTGGTGGAGGAGTTACAGTAACTGCCAGAGCCAATTCCCCCTGGACTGGTCTGTCAACATTTGGCACAGGATGAATTGATTCTGCATATGTTAATCTGTAATTCTCAACTGTGAAGTATCTGGAACAATAATCATATGGATTCCTACCAACACATTCAAAGACCGCAATGGCATGACAGCAAGGCACCCCAGTTAGTTGCCATCCCTTGCAGCTACAATCCCAATGATCAATATCAACAATATCAACAGATTCTCCACGGACCTCAAATGTGCTACCTTGTGAGAGCAACACTTGAAGTGAACGAGCAACTGATGTTTCCTTTTGGAGCATTTCCTCCTTGGAAGGTGTCAATTTTGTCACCCATTGATTCGATTCAACCCGCCGTGTGTAAATTGTTTCCATCATTTTACCTCGTAATACATCAATCATTTGAGTAATAGGCAACTCATGTGCCTCTGACACCCAACTGTAAAATTGCTGTCCAAAATTCGATGTCAGATGATTATACCTTGCTCCATCAAAAAATGCATTGGCCCAGTGCTCTGGCTCACTTTGTATGACCCAATTGTAGGCTTCAGGAGAAATACCTTTAATATTCTCAATACTACGTTCAAAAGTCTCCAATTTCGATGCATAAGCAGCAGCATAAAAATCATTAATCATGAAACGTCTGGCCTCATGAGAGAATTGTCCCTTCAAGTCCTTGTTCAGTTTCTCGGCAAGGTGGCGTAAACAATAGCCGTGGTAGCATTTCTCAAATATCTCACACAATGACATTTTCAAACCATTCTGAAAATCTGCAACAAAAGTAATCTGCTCAGATGTTGATACTGCCAATTTCAGCTCCTGCAGAAACCAATGCCAGTTGTCCTCATTCTCGGCATCTACAACAGCAAAGGCTACGGGAAAAATGCCATCATCCCCATCCACAGCTGTTGCAGCCAATAATTCCCCTTGGTATTTTGAGTTTAAAGGAGTTCTGTCAAGGAAAAGGAGAGGGCGACAGCCTTGCTGGAAACCAGATATTGAGGCATGAAATGATACAAAGAGACGATGGAAGCTTGAGTCCTCTTTAGTTGTGAATGCTGCAAAACTCCCTGGATTGGTCTCTTTTATCTTCTCACAGAAGAATGGTAACTGGGTATATGCCTCTTTATAAGAGCCTTGGAGTTGCTCTCTAGCAATTTCTTTTGCACGCCATGCTTGAGAATAATTTAACTGAATACCATACTCCCGCTTTATGTCATCTGCAATATCCTTTGGCTTGTAATTGGGTGAAGCTTTCAATTTCTCTTTTATAATACTTCCCACCCAACCCCTAGTTGCCCGATACCCAGCTTTAACAGCAGATCCTTCACAAGTATGATTTGTGTTCATTTTCTTAATGCAAATCAATTGGGTGGTTGACAACCTTGATGCATATATTCTCCAGGGACATCCTTGAGATTTACATTTGACTGTGACACGATGACTATCGTTTTTTTTATATCTGTAAGCAAACCCATGAGCTATAGAGTATTTATGCAATGCCTCTCGGAATTCACTAAAACTATTAAACCTTTGGTCCACACCAGTGATGGTATTTTCCCACTGTTGTGCAGCTTTACGATGCTTGTCATCATTGGCCCCAGAACAAACGGAAAGTGTAGGGGCTTCATTAACTACATCTATCTCAAATTGATCAATGCATTGTGCAGCATCAACAACGGCATCAATAGGAGCAACAACAGGTACAACAGCTTCTGAGACAGTTGTCCTGCTTGACCTGCAACATCAAGTGGTACATAAGATTTTCAAGACAATGCACAAGTGAATACATATGAATCTAATATCATCCCAATTACATAGGTCACATTTTAAAACTGAGACAACATTAAAAAGTGGTTAGAAAAGTTAGCACATATATCTCTCTTAAAATCATACTCAAGCAGCGATTTCTGCAATTATGGGTCATATAATTGTAAGTAACGCACGATATATGATACAGAAGCTGACCAATACGAATCGGTTGTCTGTATCGGAATTAGTTTTGCATTGGATCGTGAATCGTTGTATCGTATCACAATTTACAATTCGAAAATCAAAGCAAGATTTGCGATTTTCAATTCAAAAAAAATCTGTAAAGACACTATCAATTAGGGAAAGGAAACAGAGATATAATTTGTGATTTAAATTCAAAAAATAATTTGAAAAGTCACTATTAATTAGGGAAAGGAATATTCAAATTCAAAAATAAATATGGAAAGTCACTATTAATTAGGGAAACAATCAAGCAAATATTCAAATTAATACAAAACTCTTCGGTCTTAAAAAAAAAAACCTGATACAAATGTGAAAAAATAGAGACTTGCGCACAAGAAAACAGAGTCTCCTGGAGAAGTTTTTAAACAACGACAGTGTAGACAAATGGAGAGAAGTTGGAGGTTTAGAATACAATTTATATAAGGGGTAGGATATTCTTATAACGGTATAAGAATAAGAAATCTTACACCAAATCTTAATAATTGATTTACTTGCATCTAATGACTCAAATATCTAATAAACCAGAACCGTTAGATATAAATACAATCAACGATCAAAGATTGAGAGTGTAACTTACACTAGTGTAAAATGATCCTGACCTTTTATATAATATTATATATTTTTAAATTATTTTTTATTATGTTTCTCAATATATAAAAAAACCGTGCATAACGACACATACAAATTAATACATAACGACACACGAAACGTATTGAAATTTAACAACCTTATTATGAATATCTATCAGTATATAGGGAAGTCAATGTCAGCTGAACAGAAGGAGTGATAAACAAACAGAAATTGTGAATAACTACCTACTACCAGGCATGTTGGATGTATTTCGAGCTGCTCCTTCCTCTGATATAACAAACACATCAACCGTGTTAGCATCCCCAATGAAACTGACCATGCGTTGCAAATCCTTGTCTTTTGATATTGTAATTAGTGTCTTCTTATTGCCAGGAAGGAAATACTTGATAATCATCGTATCTACATTGCAGTTGAACATTTCTGCTATTTCTGACTTAAATTCACTCAACCTTGTCTCATGATCAATGTCTATTGCATAGGCATCACCCCCATTGTATGACAATAATCCATCATTATTGGTCACAAACTCACCTCCTGACTGACATATAGCTATAATTTTCCTCGTAGCCATGGCCTAGCAAGTAGCATAGCAAGTATATAAATTTTTTTAAACAAAGAAAAGTTACTACTACAAATCTCAGGGTAGATAAACAGTGAAAATGGCTTGCATAAAGCATTCTGAACTCTTCATTGCAAATGCCCAACTGGTAAAATTCACTGCCCAAAATCCCGAAATCTTATTCAGCATCAAGGAACAAACCAAAAATAATAATCTCAGAAGCGAAATTCACATACAACAAACACAACATAATCTATGATAGAATTTTGTGACAAAAATTCAATCTTTAACTAATGAAACACTACCCACGAGAGAAACCTATGATTTTTTTTTTAAAAAAAGGAAAAAGAAAACCCTTGTGTGATAGAAAAACAAAAAGAATTAATATTACCCATCCGGGTAAGTGAAAAATAACAAGAGTGATGCCAAAACAATGTAATTGAAGTAAAAGAAGAAGAAAGGAAAGAAACCCTAACGAAGATGAAGAAGATGGAAACCTGAAAGCCAGAGTGAAAAACACCGAGGAAGCAGCAATTGTTGCTTTGTTGGTGTCTGTTTTGCTCAAAGTTGGAGACTTTTTAGTGTGTGCGTGTGCGTGCGTCACCCAACCCAACCAATCGGAGAAGTGCTTCCTCTGTTCACGCCCAAATCTCTGAAACCGTACGTCGACGTATTCTTTATATCACTTCACTTTCAGCCGTTGATATCAACTCCTTTTAACGGTTACAGATTGGCATTCATATCCTATTTTTCATATCTAAAATCCAATATTAAACAATTTACCCTAAGAAAATAATAATAATAAAAGCTCTTTAATGCATATATTAATGGATTTTATATTTTTCATTCAATATGAGAATTGAATTCTCATGTTGTAGAGACAAAAAAACATGTGTGACCCGTATGTAAGAAAAATTTATGTATAGGACCCACGTTGGCACGGAAATCGAATGATGTTTAGGAAAATTCAAATTCTCATGTTAAATGAGAATTATAAAACCCTATATTAATTGTAATATCCCAGGAAAATAATAGTAAATTATAATACAATAAATTAATAATACTAATAAATTATAAATTAGTAATAATAATAATGGGTGATAAATTATGATTATTTGATTGATCATTATGCTTTAATGTTTGATTATTTGATTGGCAATGATGAGTCAATAAACATAAATTGTTTAAATATGATGAGTCAACAAACATAAATTGTTTAGATATGATGAGTCAGCAATGTATGAAGCCAATATCTGAGTCAAATACATCAATAAAGAAAAAAGAAAGAAATACACGAAACTCATATCTAAGTCAAAAACTTCAACTATAAATAGAGGCCTAACCTGATCAAACCAATTGACTCTAAATCCTCAATAATTCTCCACCAATCTTCTTCTCCTCTACACTCTCTCTTTCTCTCCCCTCACTTTAAATTTTTATTTTTATTGTTTAGATTTGTTGTGTATGAAATTTTATTGGATATATCCTAATCTTTATGATATAAAATGTTATTATTTTAGAAATTATAATTATGTGCAATGTATGGTATAAAATTTAATTCATGTGCAATATATGGATCTTATTGAATAATTATGAAAATTATGGAATTATAATACTCTTTAAGAAAAACTTTCCAAATATGTGTTTTAATGATTGAATTTGAATATTTATATTATTAATAACTATGATAATTGATGTGATGGGATTATTTGAATGACGATGATTGGATTTCGATTTTTCTATGATGAATGTTGAAGATTTGAATTATTATATCCTTGAATAAATTGGAAAGTTATGATGAGGATCAGATTTGGATTTTACTGTGATGAATGTAGAAGATTTGAATTATCATATCCTTGAATAAATTGAAAAGTTATGATGATGATCGGATTTGGATTTTACTGTGATGACTGTTGAAGATTTGAATTATCATATCCTTTAATAAATTGGAAAGTTATTATGATGATCGGATTTGGATTTTACTATGATGGATGTTGAAGATTTGAATTGTTATATAAATTCGAGAATTTATGATAATAGTTGTTTAAATTATGATACTTTGGAAAATTATAATGCCCTTAAGTAACTCGTTTAGAGATGATAATACTTAAAGAATAAATAATTATGATTGAATCTTTCCTGATTGTGTGTGTTTGTAATAAATTAATAGTGGGAGGATAGCTTTGGGGTGGTACCTCCCAAAGTGATGAACACAACTTTTGGGCTTTATGCCTCCGATGTTAAACTGATGTGAAAAAGATTGTATCCGTTCTTCCCAAAGTGGTATCTGGCAGGGTTTCCCGGGATACTATTAGCAACTTTGGGAAGAGGTGTGCACACTAGGAAGATGTGAATTGATCATGGCCAATGTGATTTGTTTGAGATTGGCAGGGTTTCCCGGGTCTACCATGGTTCTCTTCCCACTAAATATAATGAACTTAAACATTATTAATAATGAAATTTGTTATTTGATTTGATTATTAAGAATGTCATTGAGTTGTGAATATTATCATATTATGATTAATGTTGTGCTAAATATGGTACTTGATAATTACCAAATACATTAAATGAACTTAATAAAGATAAATATTATATAATGAAATTTTGATTATTATATTGATATTTGATTTGATTAATGTGGAATTGATTTGAACACTATTTGATATTTGATTTAATTTGTTATTAATTACAATAATTGTATTGTGATTGGGATTACCAGCTTTGCTGACTTTTGTGTTTGTTTGACTGCAATGATCCTGCGGCTGCGGGGGAGCAGATTTTCAGTGAAGCATGTTGCAAAGGATGAGGCTAGCTGTGGACAGTGAGGATCACGACTCGGATATATCTCGCTAGTTTATAAGTTTAAAAATTTATGAGATTTAAATAAATGCATAAGACATATTTCCTTTATTTAAACTTTAGTCTTTGGTTTTATTTTAATGTAATAAATTTAGCCTTGCACCTGTCCATTGTACAGGTGCGGCGGTAACATTCCCCAAATTAGATTTAGATTAGCTTCCGCAATATTTCTATTATTATAATTGTAAAAAAAAAAAAAAGAATTTTGACAATTTATTTATTATAAGATTGTTTTATAAATTGTTAAAAATTTAGGGTGTTACATTAATAAGTTTAATTAACCTTCCACGAACAATTCATCATTCATGTGTGATAAGAATAAAGTTACCTACATAAATTTTAGGGAAAAATGTCTATCATTTAAAATTACACAACTTACATCCTTTCACTCTCACAAAGAGGCGGGACCCACACCTTTATTTTTTTTGTCAACTCTCTCTCCTACTTTATCTATCTCTTTCTCTCTCTTAAAATGACACAACTTTACATCCTTTAAAATTATACACACTTTTCCCTAAATTTTAAGGGTTTGGTGTTTATCATTTGGGTTTACATTTTCTGCAGTTACTGCAGATACGTTATCTGCAGTAAGACAATACGACGTCGTTTTGAGACGGAAATCATGGTATTTTAGTCTTTATATTTATAATTTTTTAAGATTTCAATCACAAAACGACGTCGTTTTGGGAATAAATGCAGATAACTTATCTGCATTAACTGCAGAAATATTTTTTCCTTATCATTTTAAATGATATATAGTTATGTTATTTTAGGAGAGAGATAGACAAAGAAAAATGGAAATTATGGGAGAGAGAAAGTGAGTATCTCTCTTAAAATGACATAACTTTCTATCATTTAAAATGATAAACACTTTGTTATAAAAAAAAAAAAAAATGATAAACACTTTTCCCAAATTTTAATTATGTCAATTATTTAAACAGAAAAATATTTCAATTAATGCAGATAAATTATCTGTATTTATTTTCAAAATAACATTATTTTGAGATTAAATAATTAAAAATTATAATTATAAAGACTATAATAATCCTGAAATAAATTAAAATTACAAAAATACCATGATTTTCTCCCAAAACGACGTTAGACTTACGAGACATGTATTAACTGCAGGAAAAACGAACCTGTTTAAATTTACATCACTAAATAATAATTTCACTATTTCATAGTTTAAATACTTAGGCTAAAAATCACATTAAAAAGTGAAGATATATAGATGAAATTTCAAAAATAAAATGGATAAAGAAGAATGAATGGGTGTGTTGATTTTGTGAGATGAGTTATGCAGTAGCAGCACTGGTTGTTCCATCTTCATATCCAAGTTCACTTCTTTCTGTGTGACCCTCTCTACTTCATCTCTTTTCTGTGTCTTTCTTCCCTTTTTCTCTCATAATAACATTTTTTTTGGGTGGATTTTAGTTGAATTACGCTTCTTCTGTGGAATTGGAACATGGGGTGAAGCCCATTCAAGATGGGTATAAGTGGCGCCTGGTTTTGGCTTACGATGGAACCAAATACGCAGGTTTGCTTCTCTTTTCAATTTCACACTCTTTGCTTTCCATTTCATGCATTAAAGCCTTTAACTTTCTCAAGCATTTTGAAATGGGTCATTATCTATTTCTGGGTCTTGTTGCCTCACTTGGCTGTTCTGTTCTGTTCTGTTTATTTCTGCACTCTTTTCTCTTTTCTGTGTGTATTATAGTGTTTCATTAATCCTAATGGAACTTTTTTTTTTCTTTATATTTTTTGTGAAGGTATAATAATATAGGCTCTGAATGCTGGAGATCCTTTGCGTTATTGTATATTACATACATTCAATTTTCAGTTGCTTTGAATAATCTCAAACATTGTATCTATCATTTTGACAGCGTTGTGATTAATGATTATATTCATGAGGTCAGAAATTTATAAATTCCATAGCTGTATCTGTTGGGCTGATTGGGCTAAACTCACATTATTTAAATGGTGTAAACTCTTTGTCCATCCAAATATATGTTGGAGAAAGCTCAAAGTTTCAAACTAATGGATGCAGTTTAGAGTTTAAAGTAATGATAGCCAGTGTACTTTAAAAATATGTATGCCGAATCCTCTTGCCTTGAGCTATATAGAAAGGTTCACTTTTCCAGTATTAATGAATAAAAATATAGTTTAATAATTGAATTCTTTCTTTTTCTTCATTATCTTGAATGATGATTATGTTTTAGGCTGGCAATATCAGCAGTCTCCTCCAACTGTACAATGCACTGTGGAAAAAGCTTTAACTAAAGCAACAAAGCTTGAAAGGAAGGATCTGCATTTGGTTGGTGCAAGTAGGACTGATACAGGAGTGCATGCCTGGGGTCAGGTCTAACTTTTTTCCTTTTATGTGGTTCCAACTTTCAAGTGGCAAATGTTGGAGATTTATATCTTATAACTGTGACTGCAGGTTGCACATTTTGTTACACCATTTAACTATGACAACTTGGAAGAAATTCATGCGGCTTTGAATGGACTTCTTCCTTCTGATATCCGAGTTAGAGAGATCAGCCCTGCGTCAGCTGAATTCCATGCTCGATTTTCTGCCAAAAGCAAGATTTACCATTACAAGATATACAATGATACCATCATGGACCCATTCCAGCGGCATTTTGCTTACCATAGTGTGTATAAACTCAACAGCGCTGTTATGAGAGAAGCTGCAAAATATTTTGTTGGGAAACATGATTTCTCTGCTTTTGCCAATGCATCCCACAATGATCGGGTACCAGATCCAGTGAAGCATATATTCCGATTTGATGTGAAAGAAATGGTACTTAACTAGTTCTAAGTCAAGGTTTCTTCCACCACTATCATTATTAGTATTTTGCACTATGTTTCCCTGTTTGTATCTTCTTCTATCTTTATTATTTTGGGAAGACTTTAAAGCTGATTACTTCAATATCAATGGTTAGGGAGCTCTTTTGCAGCTAGAAGTTGAAGGCTCAGGTTTCTTGTATAGGCAGGTCCGAAACATGGTAAATAGTCTTACTTGTGCCTAATACATGTAAAAGATTATTTTGCAGTTGCAAAAGTGCTGTATGGTTGTTCCACTTTTATGATTGCAATGACATGTATCTGTTTACTTTTCCAGGTGGCTTTGTTGCTTCAAATTGGAAAGGAAGCTATCCCTCCTGACATTGTTTCACATATTTTGGCAAGTAGAGATCGCAGGGAGCTTGCAAAATACTCCTTGTCTGCCCCACCTCATGGCCTTTGTCTTGTTTCTATCAACTATGATGAAAGTCACCTATTGCCTCCCCCAGGTTGCCCTGCAAACAGTTTTGGTAGGCATCATACCATAAGAAAATGCAAGGTTCCATTTTATTACTAGGTAGCAAAACTAACACTCTAAATATCTCAGGACTGATTTTTAAACATTCATTGATATTTGTGCTTCATGATTCTTAATCTTCAACTGGCTGGAGCCTAAAATAGAAATTTAGATTTTAGTGCTGTTTCAAGATACGATTCGATTGAAGTCTAGTCTTCTTTTATATTTAAGTGTAACTTTTTTTCATTTGAAATCAATTTATTTATTAGTGGTTTGCTTTTTAATTTTGATCTTTTTCTGTCTGTCAAATTTTTGCATCTTGTAGTTTGTGGGAGCAATGCCAGTGGCTTAAAGTTCGCATTTCAATAAAAGCCTCGCATATTACCTACTTCTCTTCTATAGGAGCTAATTTGGCCATTACCATGGTTTTATTCCAAAAATAAGTTTTTCTTTCTGTTGATATTCTAAAAAAATAAAACATAATCATTTTTCATGTAATCCCGACTAACGAAGATATTGTGAATTGAGAAACGCAAAACCATTTGAAATTTTGGAATTACTGCTCCCAATGGGGAGAATAGATAAAATCAAAACAAAAAGGAAATGCATAACATCAATCATGATGGTAGGAATATAAATTAATTTGAACCAAATATAGGGTACAAGTTTGATTAGTAAATTCCCGCTATGTTTTGCCAAATTGTCAATCTGATTACATCATGTATATTGCTGAACTAGAATTCAGTCCATGCCAACATCAGAGTCAGTTGGAAACAAAATCCCTAGCAATTTTTTTGTTTTTCCTTTTGCTTGGGATTCTGCTCTCCCATAACCAGAGGCCAACTAAAACACCACTTGGCTAAGGGAAAAATGCTACCGGAGTCCTTCATGGACTTTATATCTGTTTAAATAATACAAGGTATCAGCATGAAATACTGTTACACTGATACTTTTGCTTATAATGTCAACAGCAGACTTTATTCCTTCTATTTATCCTCCTTTTTCTTCCATTTTCCCCTAAGAAGAAAACTCATTAGTGAGTTGAGAACAATAGTGCGTGTATGAGTCATGCGCAAGGTTCTGCAAAACACACAAAAACATACCTAAGTCAGTTCAAAACCCAAATAATAACCCAATGCTTCATGGCTATAAATGACAAGGTAGAAAAAGGTTATCTGAATACCTGTTCCTGAGAGCGAAAATACATGAAGGGTGTATAATATAAAAAATTTGACACCCTAGATGTATAAATGTCAGCATATCTGCGATAATAAACTTAAAACAGTTTAATATCAAGAGAGCAGTATGATATAATAGAGATCAGTACCATCAAAAAGAAAGCACATACTTCTCAATTTGTCTCATCAAGTGACTTTTATCCCACAGTCCAGCACGAGATAGAAAACCCCACCTAATGTAGACACATAAACATACACCAAGTCAACAACAAATGCATGCGGTAAAATGACTGAAAAGAAAGGTAAGCAGCATCTAAGTTGATAGATAGCAGCAATACTCTCTCCCTTACCACAACTAGCCAAGGAAAAACAAAGGAGAAAAATAAGATATCCCAATTTCTTTGCAACTTTTCTAAGTTGATAGATAGTAGTTTGCATGCCATTTTGTTTACGTGGACGAAGATTTTGCTTTTTTATGTTCATGTCCACTGTAATAAGAACAATTTCTCACTCCACTGGGGCCACAAGGAAAGGGGGAGCGGGAGGAGGAAGGGTTTGGAAATATCATGACACAGGATATTTGATCTATTTAAAAAAGTAAGGGAGTATTTTAACCTTGGACTCATTGACTAAACCCAATCACCAGAAATTCTTTTCCATGGTAAATCAACTATTAAAATCAATTAGGTTTACATAAGTAACCATGTGGCAAAAATAAATAAATCCAGTACAGGCTGAGTACACTTAGAGAGTTTCTAAATCAAAGCTCTATCCTTTGATCTTACCTTAAATTGAAGAGCTCCCCATCTGCTTCTAGCATTGGAGCAATTTTCTCATCTAGTCTTTGCATAACAATTAGTAGCTTTTGCATGCTTTCAGTGAGGTCTTCATCATTCATGTTAGTTGCTGCAAGGGTCTTCAAGTACATGGAAAATCTTACAATCAGTATTAAAGTAAAAGGCCAATGTGTGTGTGTATTATCTGGATGACTTTAAAAAAATTGTAATATAAAGGTATGCTTGATACCTCCAAATTGAGAACCAAGCAGTAAGATAAAGTTAACCTTGTAAATGTTCTGAGCTGTGTGGGTATGAGAAGCTTAGTTGAAAATTTAAAAGGTTCAAGATAAGGAAGGAAAATGCTTTCCAAAACCCAAGAAAGTGACTAATTAGTCTAATAATTGTCGCAAGTAAATAACACATTATAAAAAAAAAAAAATCCACTCCCTGTTAAACCTGACTAACAAGTGTGGGGTGGAAGAAATCCTTGTATGCAACCTTACCCTTGCATAATTGCAAAGAGGTTGTTTCCTGGATTCGAATCCATGACCTTTCAGTCATGAAAAAACAGTTTTACCACTGCTCCGGTTCGCCCTCTTTTAAGTAAATAACACATTATGATTGAGATATTTTTGGAAGATTAATGATTGCATTGAATAATCATATTTAGATTAGGCAGGTCAAAGAACACTGAATGAGGCAACAAATAGCAGTAGCAGCAAAGGTTGACCACATGGGTACTAAATATTATCCAATGCAGTCATTAATCTTCCCAAAATATCTCAATCCTAATGTGTTATTTACTTGTGACATTGCTAACCTATTAGTCACTATCATAAGAATGCAAAAGAAAATTCTCAAGTGCCTACTGCTTCATTTTTTCAGCAATGGTAAGAGATATGTCGCATTAGCACAAATAAAGCATAAAACATGGAATATATAATAGGATGACCAAAACTTACCTGAGCAGGACGGTCTTTACTTCGCCTCTGCAGAGCCAGCCGTAATTGGTTGAAGAGATCCCCCACAACCTCCTTTTGATTTATAAGCTCCACCAATGATTCTCTATAACTGCGGCTACTAATCAAGGCACTGTACTGCAGTTTAACATTTACATAGCACAAGGACATTTCATACTTGGATCCACTCAAGTCACCATAATTGCTCTAGACAGTACAAATAGTGCAGCATAAAAAATCACTGAAATAAGCTGCATGTCAGCCTCGAGTTAACAAGCAATCATATCATGTTTTTTTAACAAAATAAGAAGTATTATTCTTTTCATAATAGCGGGAAGTTCTAGATAGCGTATTTGAGATTTCCATACTAACCTCTTCTTCCAGTTCTCGACAAATCAATGCTGTCCGCCATCGCAAATGGACTTTGGATTGACTGACATCAGTGTAAATATGGTCACCTACATACAATATCTCGTCTCCATGGATATTTAGGGAATTTTCAACCATCTGTGCACTTCCCCCTGAGTACACACCACCTGTAGGAGATAGTAGATAAAGCACAAGGTAATCAAATCATGTAAAAAACAACTATAGCACATGATTAATTCAATGCATATCCATGATAATAAGTAGTAAATTTAGCAGCTAAATTATCCTCATTGAAAACTAACATGGTTGTTATTTGAATAGTATTAAAAGAAATTTTAAAAAATATGTTAGCCATTTTGCATTTCACCTAATGTTATCTATGATAGAAACAGTAAGAAAAAATTCAATCAATACTTCTGAATCTGATCAACCCTAAAATATGCATAACTAAGTGCTTGATAAATATTAATGCATCATAAAAACATCATCAGTGCTTTTCTTCATTTTATTGATGGATCTCAGACAGAGTAGCAAACCGGTCTACAATCTGTGAACATCCTCCATTCTTATTTTTATAAAGGAGGAGGTGACAGGCTGACAGCAGACCCTAAACCTATCAGTGACAGATGTATTCAAGATAGAGAAAGCCAAAATATAAAAATATATCTTTTTGGCTTTGTTAAATGAATAGAAAACTCCATCTGTTTCAATTTGTAGGACTCCCATTCCATTTTTGGAAGTCTCCAAATATATTTCAAAATAATGCATTTCTCATTTTTAAACCCAATTTCCCCTATATAGTCTTGTTAACTCGAAAAAAAATTTGGTCACAGTATTCAAAATGACAGTCTTCATTTATATATTAAAGTTAAAAAAATAAAATAGAAAGACGTGATATTTTCTGGAAAAAAAGGGGAATCTTCTTATACTTTGTGAAAAACCAAATGAGTCATAAAATAAGGAACAGAGGGAGTACTAATTACCAGTTTGAGCCTTGAAGCATGGACGCATCAGACCCTCGCCTGTCACCACTTCATACATGGGGTGTGACATTTGGAAGAACTCTGGTTTTCTTGCTGAGACAATTACCTATCCATGAACAAGAGCCACATCCATTTATGCAAGGTTTATTTCATAATAAGACAAGGTTGTTAATTTAGGGCAAGGTAATGAAGAGGATATGGAGTATTTTTCATTCCCCTATGTCTAGATAATATTGTTTTTGTAATTTTCTTCAAGAATAAAAATATGGAAGAAATAATTCACATAAACTTACAATGTCAAACAGATCTCGCCAACCCATATCATTGGGAAGGAATCTATTAAAAGAATGCTGCATCATTTTATCCGTGTAATGATAATCTGAGTTGGTAATAAGCAGAAGCTTTTTGCCAGCCTGTTTCATGAAGACAACTGAGAAAGAGTAGAAAGGCATCACATGCTATGCAAAAAATAATATGTAAGAGATAATACCTCCTTCTGATCCAAAAGTGCCAAAGGTAATTCCGGATCAGGCTCCACAAACTGTTCAGGCTTAGACATGATCTCACTCTGCATAAGTTTCATATATCATTTGGTATGAATAATGCACAACATTAAAATATCAAAGTAAACAAAGATAACAACATGAATGTTTTCACCTTAAGGCGGCCTTCTACATGTGCCCAGAAGAGAGCTTTTCCAACAGCCTGAAAGTTGTGCCAATGGTAAAGAAAAAGAATATCCCTAACCAAATATAATATTTACAAAATATTTGCACCATATTACCTTATAAAGCCCTTTATAATCAAGGGGGCCAAGATCTGGTGTTATAGTCCCGTCATCCAGTCTGTCAACCATCTGAAAGAAATTACAAGTCATTAATGAAGTCTCATCATAAATTCATAATCAGACATGATTACATTATATAAAAAGGCAATATCCTCATAAATTAGGTGGGTAACATGGTTATATGGTTATTCATGTTATTAGCAAGAATCAGAGGGCACAAGGCAGCTTACGGGAGATTCCTTATGTTCAAATTTCACATCTTAATATTTCTGAACTCCCACTTGGACTCTACTACCTACTTGAAATTTGGAATGCCCAGTTCACCCCAAAAGAGTCAAAAAGGGGAATTGACAATTTCATGAATTTCCTCTTACCCCATCAGGGTTCCTAAGACATAGCAAACAATGCTCAAATTTAAAACACCAACAAAACCTATTACTCATTAGAGAAATAAAAAGAAGCCACACAAACTAAGATCTGAATGCCACAGCAAAACGAACATTATAGCAGAAAACGTCTCCGTTATTGAAAGTTTAGTAGTTTTCAACAGCAATTACAACGTACCTGCATGTAGGCCACAGCTTCAGATACAGAGAACAGTGTGTTGAGAAACTCCCATTGACTCTCCTTTCGCAGGTCCACCAGTTCCCTCCCATACATCTCACTTCCATTGCATACAAAATTAAGTAGCACTACAGAAACTATAACTCCAGTTTTTGATAAATGACATCTACTAATCTATCAATGTGTGTGTGTGTGTGTGTGTTCACATATGCGCGTGCAGGTGCACATGTAATTGTGTATGCATATATCACTGTGAAGGCTGTGCTGCAAGGTAGCCAATCAAGAAACAGCAGATGATCCATGTGCAAACTGCAAACATATAATGCATAAATCTAGGGTTGTTTCAGAAGATGGACTTCTGTTCTGACTATTAGAATCGATTGTCAACTTCCATAGTTTATTAATAACTAATGTAGAACAACATATTTATTTATCTCGACTGCACTCTGTTGATAGTCTAAATTGAAGTATGCTGTGATAAGTTAGTGCACGTTATGTTGATATAACAAGTGAGCAAAAAACCTCTGCACGGAGTTCCATTATCAGAAATCAAACCACAAGGCCTGACACTTACCTCACAGCTCGAGTAGATAACATTTTGGTGCCATGCATGGCTCTTTTTACGTAACCAAATCGATCAGCTTTAACCAAATTGCCTCTCTCTTTGTCTATGACAAGGCCTCTAATTACCTGCAAAATTTATAATGGAATGTAAAGATCACTTTGACTACCAAAATATAATATGCATTGTCAAATGCCTTCAGCTTTCCAGAGAGAACACGTTACCAGCTCAGGATCAAATGCAAGTCCATCAACAGGGAAACCCATATTCTTAAGGTTTTCCAAACAGTAGTCATAAGCCCGCCCTTCCCAAGCCTGTAAGAGCACATGTCAATATCACAAAAGTCCATTTACCTGAATAGAAATACACCTACATTTCCAGGAAACACAAAAAAATAAATAACCTCTTACATACTTTTATACTTCTATGATTTGAACTGCAATGCTAATAATGATTAACACACAACTAACACAAGAATAAAAACTTCAAGCACAGAGTAAGGGGAATACTCTGTATTTTTACTAGTGAGGTAAAAGTAAAACATAAGAACTAACAACTATCAAAGAAAGAATGAGTATAAAATACTATTGAGAATTGACTCTTGTGATCCAATTGAAATTAAAAAGTCCTTGTACTTCAAAAAAATTTGTTTATAAATGTAACATATGATACAATTGAAAATTGAACAAAGGAAATTATATCTGCATGCTTAGTAATTAAAATTATAATAGTTCACACAAACTATACAATACATGGAACAGATGAATACCATCACGTTATAATGGATCAAGGTATAGTCCATGTCATATCCAATGGCACTAATTGACCGTAGATTCAATGTACGGCTGCAGAATATTCCACGAGGTGAATTTCTGGATGAAGAAGGGCTCTACATGAGGACACAACAGTGATATTTACTTACTGAACATGAAACTACATCCCAATCAAAATCCAAATAGAAAAGAGTGAGAGAGAAAAATAGAAGACAAAATCAGAGTTCCAGTCAGAAACAATAATTAGATGAAGAAATAACAATTGATGAAGGAAGTAGTAGGTGGTTGTGAGTGATGTTGATCTTGATATAACATTTTCACATGCAAGGTTGTCACTCCCATGACAAAAATAAAGAAGAGATTTATTTGCTAGGGACTTCAATGATAATCACAATAGTAAATGATAATATAAGTAAATTAATCAAGTATCAACCTTTCAAAGTGTTTATGAATTATGAAACCCGTGCAAACACCCCCGCTATATTCAATGTATATGGACTCCAGGAGATATTTAAAAAAGATTTAAAAAACTAGACCGGTTGTTCGCATAGGTTTTGCAAGCCTTTGGGGGAACAGTGCAACTTGCTTTATAACTTATCACTGAGACTCTGCTTAAATATTAACCACACATGTTCAAAAATTCACAACTTATGGCATATGTAATCTCCATTATCCATCTACACCTGTGTTGAGAATAGGATTTTATAATGACGCAGATATGCATATGGTAAGATACGGATAGCACTAGATACATTGACAACACGCATGCCTACGAGAAAAAAATGGTACATTGATAACAAATTCATTCATCAACTAATAGTATAGAATACAGGGAAGTAGACCACAGATGTTTTCAAGCCAAAAATATCAGCAAAGTATAAAAGAAGCAAGCAAGCAAGCAAAAGGAGTAGGTCTACTGCACCGGAATACCCAAGTCTTTTAGCAAACCTTCTGCTTCCCTAGCCTCTGTTCTGGCTACTTCCTCAATTGGACCTTCTAACGAACCATGACCATCAATTCCTACAAGAGAGGAGACCAATATTCGCCTTCTTAGCATAAATTTATCAAAACCATACTCAATATAATAATGCCTGATGTTTTGGTAAATATTACAAACAACATCTATAATTCGTGACAAAATAAATGACTGATAGTTGGTTTGGTAGTAACAAAAAGATGTACCAGTACCATAAACAAATGAAAATCAGACCAAGCTTTTATTTTTCAGTACATTAAGGAACAGCAATATTGTTCAATGTCCTATAACTATATATCTCCAACTGAACAATATAGCATCAGAAACATCAGTTGATTAATCAAGCTATTAAGTAAGTTAACAAAAAATCCAAAAGCATAATAATCAATAAACAAAGTTTGAAAGTGGAGTGAACATGAAACTGAGCACCAACTAGGGTGGAAAAAAAAATGGGAATTTTGAAAAGTTTCAAATTTTACCAAAAGCTTCAAGATGCTCCAACTTGACGTTCAAATCCCCTTTGGTGCTTTCCCCGAGGTAGTCGACGTCAGACTTGTTCGACGGTGTAACCGAAAAAACATCGTCACTAACGGATTTGGAGTCAATGGTGCATCGACGAAGCGTCAAAGCCTTAGCCAACCTCGTATTCTCGACGTTATGGGAAGCGGGTCTCGTGAAAGCTGCGTTTTTGAAGCACTTGTTGTTGGTGGCGAAAACTGCTAACGAAGCATCGCCGCCGTGCACGGCGAAGATGCCGAAAACCTCCGCCGCAAACATGTATGGTGGTTTAAGTGAGAGAGAGAGAGAGAGAGAGAGAGTAGAAAGCAGAATCAGTGTTGAGGAACAGTGAGAGTGAAGTGAAGGACAAGTGTGTGTGGACAGAACAGAAACTAAAAGAGAGAGAATCTTATTTTATTCGGATTTGAATTGAATTGGATGTTTGTCTCACCGTTTCATGATAGGTTATGGCCCAAAGCACTTGAGTGAGTTTTGCAAATTACCCCAGAATAATACTTGTTTACTCTTTTGCCTTATATATTTTTTGGAAAGGATATATTTACAAATTTTTTTTTTTTTTTTTACAAATTACAAATTTTTTTTATATATTTTTAGGAGAATATAGTGTAATCAGTGTTCTCCGTATAATTTGTAAACAAAAAAGTTTTTTAATGTAACCTGTCCCTATATTTTTTATGTAAGATATTTTTAGTATAATTTTTTTTTTATTATCACTCTGATCATCATTCTTTTTAGGGAAAAGTAAAATGATAATAGAAAAAATTGATGGTAAAAATATCTTACCTCTATATTTTTAGGGAAAAGTTATGTGTATTACTCTTTTCTTATTTTTATTTTTCTTATCACTTAACTTTTTTACAAATTTTTACGTCGAAATCCACTTTTAACACTTTTATAAATTAGAAAGATGTTAGTTATATAAATGTAATGACGAATTGATTCATTTATGGAAAATGTATTAAAGAATGATAAAATAATAATCATTAATTTTTTTATAAACAATTGAAATTATATACATAAGCCTATATCATATAAAAGGATATATTTTAAACCTAATCTCACATTATCTAATTGATTATACTATATTTTATTTTTTTTTATAACAATACTATATTTATTTAACTAAAGTTATATCATTATAAGAATAAAAAATTTACACCTATTCTTAATTATTAATTTATTTATATTTAATGACTCGCATAATTAATAATTAAAATCATTACATCTGAATAAAATTAATGATAAAAATATAATGCAGCCATTATATTTAGTCACTTATATTAAATATGAATTTGTATTAAAATTATTAAATATGAATCAGCCCTATAATTCATGTCATAAATCTCTTTTAAATTATAGAAAAATATATTTAAATTCTGGGTGTAATATTTTTGCTTTCATTACAGAAAAAAATTTCTACCACACTCATTTAATAGTGAGTGGATTCCATAGAAAAAATTGATAGGATCCACTCACTTTTACGTGAAAAATTCATATCAAAACTAGAAATATTTTTCTCTTAAATAATTGCTAAAATGTATTATACATTTAGTTAATAAAAGGGGACGAATTGATGTGTACATATGTGAGATTGCGTGGCAGTAGTTTTCGAATTAATATTTGGAGCCAGTGCAATTTTTTATGAAAAATCAGTGCAATGTTGCATTTAGTTGGTTTGGTACCATTATTATTAAAACTGAATCGAACCAGCAAGTCAGAGGATCTAATTAGTAATTATTCGATCCAATCAATTCAATCATCAAGCAATAACTCGATTTGAAAATCGATGAAATAACTCTAGGTCGGGTTGAACTCATATCAAATAGACACTGACTTTTGTAATTCTGTGTTGAATTTTGTTAATATAATGTATACATTGGAATTCAAAGCTATAATTTGATGAAGAGTACAAGCAACATTAACCACTATCCTACTGTTATATTATATGTTTATTGTAATGCTTTTATTATATATATTTGGGGATATTTTAATTCAACGTAACATTAAAAAGTTTTACTCGCTATCTCAACTTTTGATTTTTATTCATATGATGTTTGCAGATTATTGAGATATATTTATTAATTAATTATTAATTTTAAATTAACTAAAATTATTATATGGGCAAAAATCAACAATTGAAATTACTCGAGTCAAAATATATATATATATATATATATATATATATATATATATATAGGTTAAATATTTATTCGGTCACTTTAGATAAGGTTATCTAAACATATCCCTTTTTAACTAAGTCTAGTCACTAAGACATAAAAGTTGTATTTTTTTTCTCTCCACCACGTCAACCCACAATGTTTAAGGAGAGAGAAAAAAAGAATAACTTCATTGTTATAACTATGTTTTACTGGTGAGATTTACTTAAAAAGAAGTAGCTATAAATAATGTTATCTAAAATGACTGTAGAAATATATATATATATATGATAGAATCTGTTTACAAATTTTTTTTATAAATTACACTAAGTACGACCGGTCGTACACTTTATGATTAAAGTATGACCGGTCGTATTTAGTGTAGTTTGTAAAAAATATATATATATACATATATATATATATATATGTTGTCGTCAAATATTTATGTGAATTTTACCAAAAAAAATATTTATGTGAATGACTTTTTGATTTTTCATGAATTTCAATATATTTTATAACTACCATACTAACGATGAGTTGTATAACTCATGACTTTTGATGTTTTTTTGTAATCACTACACTAATAGTAAATTCAAATATAATTATTCTCTGTTAGAGTCCTATATAAAGAGATAAATTATATGAAAAATAAAATGATCAGTTCATTCAGAATCTTGTGATATTCTAATGCTATTTCATGAGTTTATACTTTCAATGTTCTTATATTTTTTCTCTTTATTTTATAGGGCTTTGTTCTGCTCTCACGGGAGAAGAATTTTTTTTGCAGTCAACACAAATTTTGAAAGAGCCCCAACATATATTAACTTAAAAAAATAAAATAAGAATTGCATGAAAAATGGTGTGTCGTTGGCATGAGAATAGCCTTGAGTCACAACAGAAGCTATTCTCCCTATTTTATATATATATATATATATATATATATATATATATATATATATATATTATTTATTTAACCGGTTGAATTTTCTGTTGAACAACAAATGATAAATAACGCGTGAAACGGTGTGTCTGGTGTACAAATTAATTTGTCGTAATCTATTTATGTCTTTGTCTTTTTGTTTATAATATAAAAGCTCTTCTACTATTATTAGAGCATTATATTTTTCCAATTTTTTTATTATATAGATATTTTGTGTTACTTTTTAAAATTTTAATTTTTTCTATTTATACATTTATCAACTTTACATTTTCTATTTTTAAAATAGTAATCAAAGTGCATTTACCTTCTTATAAATAAATAAATAAAAGATACGCAAGTTTTATATATTTATTATAAAACTTGCATTATTAAAATTTCCTGAAATTGATGTGAAAAAAGGAATAAGCTAAAACTAAAAAAAAAAAACTAAAAACTGTTTGGCGATTATTTAAAATTTTCAACTTAAAAGTTACTTAACAATATATATTTTAAGAAAACTCTATCTGTATCTCTAGAGTTCTTCATTTCAAAAAAATGCACACAATTCAAGAAAAGTAGATAATATTTAAAAAAAAGCTCATCCTGAGCTTTTAGTTTTTTGTTTTTTCCTTCATTATAAAAAAAGAGCTTTTCATTAACAATTTTTTTTTCAAAATTTGTTTGGTCTAGTTTCTGTTTATAAGTAGCTTTTAACTTAAAAAAAAAGAAATTCCAAACACACACCGAGAATAATTTCAAATATACAAATTACAATGTACAATATCGCTCTCTAATGCCCTTTTCCTCTTTTGGTGGTGGATTCACATTGTGGAGCACATTTTCAGCACTCAAGGAACAAGTATATTCTTTTTTTTTTTAAAAAAAGAATATATAAAAGAAAATAATCATAAAAATAAAGATAGTATAAATATTTTTTTTCATAATTGATAAAAAATATACTAAGTGTTTGTATATTTATACCCACTGAATATTTTCCACATTACAATTTTCCAAAGCACACGTATGTAATGGGCCCTCCCTTAAACAAAAGACAACAATTAAATAATATTATAATTTTATTTAATTTAATTAGTATATTTGACTAATGATATATTTCTTTTTTATTTATATTAACATAAGGTACACCAAAATTTTTATAAATATGAAATAATGTAGTAAATAAAATTTTTGGTTTGCATATCCTTTAAGAAAAAATTATCAAAACATAATTGTTATGTAGTTAGAAAATTATTTTATTAAAAAATAAGTTAAACAAGGGCAATTATAAATATTTTTCAGTCTTACTAAAGTTCAATTAACATATGTTAAAAGAAGTATAGTGTCTTTTTTTATTTAAATTGTGCACAGGAAAATTATATATATGAAGTTAAAAAGGACATCTGAAAATTGTTACAAATAAATAAATAAAAAAATAATTACTAAATTTTAAATATGAGTTTATCTATAATATTTCATGAGAATACTGCATATAATTATCTGCAATAAGCCTAATACGACGTTGTTTTGGGACAGAAATCATGGTTTTTTTGTAATTTTAATTTATTTCAGGATTATAATAGTCTTTATATTTATAATTTTTTAAGATTTCAATCCCAAAACGACGTCGTTTTGAGAATAAATACAGATAACTCATATGCATTAACTGCATAAATATTTTTTCTTTAATTTTTAACCAAACGTTATCTTGAAAGTAATTTAACTATAAAGTTTTCTCAAAGCAAATAATTTAATAAATTATTTTCTTTTGAAATATAAAATATAACGTGATCCAAAAGCGTACATTACATGAAAGCATCCAATCAAGTAAAAAACGTAAATCATTATACTCATTATGAAATAAATATATTAGTATATAATTAATAAGGGGAATAGATCTCTCTTTAACAGGAAATCAAAACATCATTCCTGCTGACTCATCGATAAGTGTGTTAAATACAAATATTTCTCAATTAATAAATTATATAAATATTTTGCATTTATAAAAAAATCCAAATATAAATAGGTATGTTAACTTGATAGATCAAATAGGTTTTTATAAAGACTAAAACCTCAACTTAATTTGTTTAAATATATAAGCCTACTTTATTTATTAAATTGACGAAACTAAAGTAAATAAAAATAAGTTAAAGCCCTTATAAACCAGGTGACCTATTTTCACCACAATACATGATTACATGCATTATAGTTATGTTTTTTTTTTTTAAATCAAGATTTATCAAAAGAAACATATTTGCTTT